CACAACTACACATATACACATGGGATCACAGACTGTGTGTGTTCTGGAACGGGTTGAACTGAGGGAGAAATGAAAAAAGGGTGAGGCACTGAGCTGTGCACACTTTGAGGAGGACAGAGTGGAAAGAGAGGCCAAGAATGTTGTTCCAGTAAAAGTTTCTCTGTGAAAAGCAGGGACTGAAACATCTTCCCCAACAGAATACTCTGTGTGAATGGCCCTTCTCACAGCACTCAGTTACCCTTGATCAGAGTGCACACTGAGGAGCTGGTCCTCTCTGGTAAGACCTTCAACTCCACAGCATCATCAAGGGTCTTGTTGTGCTTACTGAGGACTGGCACAGACTGGCACTTAATCCACACTCAGAATCATCAATCAGTAACTGGCCATGCCCAGTCCCATCCCCCCCCCCCAGGAGATGTACTACTGCTGTGACAGAGCAAGGGCAATGAACAGGACTGTCCTGTCCAGGACTCTCAAGTAGGAATAACCTAGTAAGACCTTTACACACTTCAGATTCTTTGAAGGACAAAAGAGTCCTTTGTCCTGAACCTTTTTCTCTTTTTTCAGACAGGGTCTCATTATGCAGTTCAGGCTGGCCTTGAACTCACTATGTGATCGAGGCTGGCCTCAAATGCCCAGTGATCTTTCTGCCTCAGCCTCCCAAGAGCTGGGATGATAGGTGAGTGTGTACCACCAAGCACAGCATCAGAATCTTACTTTAAGGAACCAGTGCTAAGTGTCAGAGCACTCATGTTCTTCATTTTGACTGAGGCAGGGGAAGGGAAGAGGAGGAGTCGGGAGAGTATACAGGAATGTGTATCTGAATGCAAAGGCAGAACACACATAGTAGAGACTAAACAGACAAGGTTTGATTCATAAATAGCTCAAATAATTTAGAATTTGTTAACAAAAGCCTTTCTGTCAACTCACAAAAAATCATCAAGTTATAGTCCTTTAGGACCTACAAAACAGCTGGTTAATCAATTAGGTAGAAATGGGTAAGAAAAAGTGTTCGCAAAATATGGAAAAACTGAAGCCTGCATATGCTGCTGGTGAGGATGTAAGATGGTGCAGCCACTTTGGAACAATTTGATCATTCCTCAAAAGTTACACATTCTATTCTTTTAGGGTAATAGCAATTCCACGCCTCAGTATACACCCACAGCAAGTGAAAGCCCCCATTTCTAAGCAAAAACTTGTATAACAATATTTATGGCAGAATTATTCCTAATAGCTAAAATTGGCAAATCTCAAATGTCCATCAATCATTAATGCATTTTTAAAAAATCAATTGACCACATATATGTGTTTATTAACGTAGTTGATTTTTTGGTTGTTTTGAGATTTTTTCAGTACCGAGAATTGAACCCAGGGTCTCACACTTTTCAGGCAGGCACTCTGCCACTGAGCTATATTCCTGGCCCAATGAATGGATTTTTTAGAATATGTTATATCCATACAATGGAATGTTATTTGGAAATAAAAAAAGAAACAAAACACTAGTATGTGCTGCAATGAATGAACTTTAAAAACAGGATTTTTTTAGGTTGGTATTGGGTTAGGTTAGGTTAGGTTAGGTTAGGTTAGGTTAGGTTTGACCTGAAACATAGTGGTGGCTTTCACCTTTATTCATTGTTAGAATGCTACTTGGGGAGAACATCTTCAGAGCTGAGCACCTACTATGGGTTACAATGTTAACCAGCTATATATGCACCAGCTAGTAAGCTTAGCATTAAGAAAAACAGGCTTAAAGCCAATAGAAAAAGACCATATATTGCATGGTTACACTTACATAAATTGTAAATTCCACGAAACAGGAAGGTGATTAGTAGCTACCAAGGAATGCTGCTTTATGGATACAAGGGCTGCTTTTTAGGGTGATGAAAATGTCCTAAAACTGATCTTGCTGGTACTCACACAACTCTATGAATATACACTAAACGCTACTGAACGGCGCATTTTAAACTGGTGAATGACATGAGACGTGAATCATGTTTCAGCAAAGCTGTTGGCTGAGCAGATACACAGGACTGGGACTAGGGCCTCCAGAAAGCACTGCGGCCTGAGGCTGGGATAGTTCCACTTCCCCTGCCACCTCATGAAGCCTGCTAGAGAACAAGGCACACTTTGCCAGTCATCTTCTTTTCAAGATGCACTGGCCTGACCTTCTATCCAGGCTTGCCTTATTTATGAGATGATAAGCTTGCAGCAAGCCATTCTCAAAGAAATCCATTTGATATGATATTTTAAAAGTATCAAATGAGTGACTCATCAGAAGAGGCCAAGGAAACTTGCTTACAATAACCTGCTCCCAGGAGATGCTTTCTAACAGATGCCAAGAAGCCTGCAAGTAAGCTGGGACCCACTGCGGTGTGCCCACAGCAAGCATATCAGCTTTGGAGAAAAGCTAAAACCTGGGACAGCTGCTTAGAGTTGTGCCCTAAGAAGACCCCGAGTCACCTCCCATCTCCCCTGCTGCACTTGGGTTCGGGTGTAACGCATCGGCTGGCTCTGCTTGTCTATTTAAACAAGTTACCCTTTTCACTATCCGCACAGCCTCTCTGAGAGGATGGTATTATCCCCACTCAAATAAACCCTGCCTGGAAGGAAACTGCCCTGGGCTGAAGGGCTTGGCTGGCAGTGTCACATGGCTGCAGAGCCCAGGCACTCTCTGCAGCTGCTCCCTCTCCCATTCGTGGACAGAGGCAGAACTGCTTCTGCAAGCCTCAGAACCCAAAGCAGAAGCTTGCAGTGGCTTAGAGCCCACTGCTCTGGCCTCCTGCCGCCCCTGGTAGCTGGAAGGATTTGTGGTTTAGGTCCGTGAAGTCAGGAGCAGACAAAAATCCATCATCACTCACCAGGACAGACACAAACCTCAAGATAATTTGTTTTCCAATGGTTTTGGCTTAAAGATCTGGTTTGGCTTTTTTTTTTTTTTTTTTTTAAACTAACAGCTGTAGCAAATTTTCATACAGAATGGGCACTGGGCATTTGACATGCACAAGCCCTGCCCACTGTCATCTGTCCACTGTCATCGAGGAGGTCTTTAGCATCAGTGACACCTGTCTCCTTAGGTGGTCTTTCAGTTTTAAAGTACTGTACTCTAAGCGGGAAAAATGAAACCAAGCCTGTCAATGCATCTTTACTGCCCTTCTTGACAGCCCCTGTGGTAGATGATTCACTGCCCCTCCCTGGGAGAGGACTGTGGCCTCCACCCACCTCAGCTACCTCAGGCAAGGCCATGTGACCAGTGGTGCCAGTCCCTACAGAAGAGAGACACCTTCTTACCCCAGGATTTTAAGGATGGCTGTGTGATCTGCACAAACAATGAAAAAGACACAGGGAGATACGTTAAGCCTGAGGTTAGAGTCCGCTAGTGGGTTGTCAACCTGTCTGCTTCTCCTTTTGGATAGAAGACGAGGAGGAATGAGCCGAAGCAGAGACTCTGTGCTGCTGTGAACGCTGAGATTTTGCACGAGCCAGCTTAAGATGGCACAGCCACTACCCTTGATCCCTGTGCTTCTCTGGCCTTCGTTTCTGCTGCAGCTTGCTTCACCCAGAAGGTCCTCCCACATACCTCAGCACCCCATCAGACACCCCACGACACGCACAGCCCTCTGTGCAGAGGTATTCTGGGCTCACTGCACTGGCGGTGTTAGCCGCCCTCGTTGCTGATCCCACTCTGCCACTGAAGCCATCACATCTGGGGGCCAACTTCCAGCTTTCCATCTTGAACCACTTCAGCAATACATAAAATAGAATTGTTCACGAAGCAGCAAAAGAAAGGGGAAAGATTCCTTAAATACTGAAAATATTGAGTACTGTAAAGTACAGACATGCAGTCACAAATCACTTCTTTTTTCCATCAGATTTTGGTTGAAAATGAGCCTGTTACTTCACCACAGAGGCCAGAAGGCAGACATCAGCTTCACGGACACTTGCAAACTGCCTCATCTTTTTGATCGGTAAGAGAACTCTGGTCTGGAAGAGCCTGAATGACATAGTCACCTCTAAACCATTTGAGAAGGGCAGTGCCACAGCCTTTCTTAAGAATCATAAAAATGACAGCATTCGTCAGTACCTGTTGGAAAATCTAACTGGATTGATAGAAGCTGATTCATCTAAAATGTCACTATGATCAAGAGAGGACTCAAAACTCTTTCAGTGGCTGGGTGTGGTGGCACACACCTGTGATCCCAGCACTCCGGAGCTGAGGCAAGAGGACTGCTGTGAGTCCAAGGCCAACCTGGGCTATGAAGTGAGCTCAAGGCCAGCCTGAACTGCATATAGAAATCCTATCTCAAAAAGACAAAAAAGAACTATACTGAGCGCATTTCTGAGCCAGGCACGGGGCCACTCCCACTATGGACTGTCCTCATTTAAACATTAGGTCAAACCCAGGAGGAGGTATGTTTTTCTCTACATTCCCGAAAACAGACTCTATATTTATGCAGATAAAGAGCAGGAATCTGAAACAAGGTCTTCCAGTCCCGGTAAACTACGCCATAAAGTCCTCCGAAACAGAATGGAAAGCGGTATCAGCTGGGCAAAGCCTGAAAAGGGAAGGTGGCGAGTGCGCTTGGATCTCCGGAGGAGCAGGTTCTACACAGCGAGACACATCTCATTTGAGGGTATGTGTTCAATATGATAGGATCTATAAAAAGTTTCCCACAACAGTTATTATTCTAAACCTATCATTAGACTAAATAATGATGCTGTACTTAAGTATTAACGTCTTCCAAAGGATCAACGACAAATTGGCAAGTATAACTAATTTTTAAAAAGAAATTAATATACATTGGGAAGGGGATCACTGGGCATCCCAGAAGGAATAAAGAAGATGAAGGAATTACTTATATACACACATACAGACAGAGGGTGAGATCAGGACAAATTAGGAAACAGCACTACCTCAGGGCCAAAGGTGCTCTGCTCACTGAGAGCCTGCCAACCCCTGCCGCCCCCTCTTCGCCAGTGCAGCGCAGATGTCTGGAACTCACCACAAGCTCACTGAACATGACGTCCAGCTCCTCCACAGGGGGCATGGGCAGCGCTGGCTCCATTGTCTGAAGTGCAAAGTTGCTATCATTTCGGAGCCGATATGTGATTTCTGGGTGGTCATTATTCCGGAAACAGCAAAAGATAAATGAAATCCCCCGTCCACCTCTCTTCCTTGGTGCCATGGCTGAATTCTGTTCTGTTGCCTGATTTGACTAAGCTCTGTGAAAAAGAGGACATGGTGTGGTTAAACATGCAACAGATGAAAGAGCTGTTTGAGAAGTCAGACATGTTACCACGGGACTGTGCTGGTGGTAAAATGTGGAACCTACAGGACACAGAGGACACTCTACAAGGGGCTGGAGTCCAGCTGGGCTGTGCCTTTGATCCCCTCGCGGAATGTTCCCTGTGACTTACTGCTGAGCCAACTTTGTGACAGCTCCACTCCAGGACACGTGCTTTATCACACTGAGCCAGCAGGCCCTCCTTGTAGGAGTTCCTTCACTGACCTACCTGCCTTGCTCTTGTTTCTCTCCCAGCAAAAATGACTTTGCCTCCTTGCCTCTAGATCTCTTGCACCCTGCCTAAGTGGAATTAATTATACTGTGTGGATGCTAACTAAGGTGTCTCTATCCATCCCAGCAGGGACCACATTCTGAGCTCCTCACACAGGTGCCTTCCTGTTAGACCACGCTAACTCAGTGTGTGAGACTGTGTGTGTGTGTGTGTGTGTGTGTGTGTGTGTGTGTGTGTGTTTGGGGTGGGGAGGCTACCTCAATGCACTCAGTGACGTCTACTGCAATGAATAACTCAAGCTCATGTCAAAACAAGAGACTTGCTAGAAGGGTTCTGTGATTTTCAGAGAGGATGAAATGAGTTCAGCATAGTCACACAATAAGGTATTATGCATTCATTAAAAGAACGAAGTGTCTGTGTATGTAAAGTGCTCAAGATGCCATAAACACAGAAACATTCATTCATGTGTACATATAGATGCATGTTCCTTAAAACATGTAATCTCATAGTACATAATATATGCAGTACAAGCTTTAAAGGATGTGATGTATTATGCATTTAAGAATATATACAAAAAATCTTAATAGTAACCACAAAAATAAAAATGGAACATCCAGGCATGGCATGTAACCACTGTTTTGCTGGAAAAAAATGAGGCCACATTTAAAGTGAAAGAAGATTATTCATTTGAAGATGGCAGCAGAGGGAGAGACAGGTGATAGGCAGCTATTTGGATCCAGTAGGGAGAATCTAAAAGCAGACTGCTCCTGGGCCCTGGCCACCAAGCTCTTCCTGCAAGCTTTCTTCTTCCTATGTAGGCTCTCGGAATCTGACTGGCGGGCCAGGGAGATGGCTCAGTGGAATAAGCGCTTCCCTGGCATGCACAAGGGTCTGAGTTCAACCCCCGGTTCCACCAAAAAAAAAAAAAAAAAAAAAGGAATCTGACTGGCTTCCAGGCTTACCTTCCATCCTTATCTAGGATTTTTTCAGACCTTAGGTCCTCTCCCTGTCCCTTGGTGGAGAGGAAACGTTAAGGACAGATTAAATTTAAAGATTAAGGGAAAGTGTGTGACTCTCATGTTAACTGCAGTACTGGGCCCTTCCCAGAGCTAGTTTCTATGCCTTTGTCTTCTTAGAAGTCAAAGTTGTCTATTAATTAATTTCTTATAAAACTCAATGAAACCTTTGACCTACCTTTTCTCTCCCTATGGGGTCCCTGTGGCCCTACAAAAACAGACAGTTGGAGAAGAATGCTTTTTATTTATGACCTTTTGAATTTTTTACCACAAAAATATATGGAGATTGTAGACTTTTTAAAGTTGAACCCTATGGTGCTATCTTTGTAAAAATTCCCAAGTAGTACTATTGTAGTAGGCAGCTGAGTGTGACAGAAACATTATAGGCAGTCACACAGGGCTAGGCTCTCAAAGGACCTAATATGGAAGACGTGATAACCTTACAACTGTGGGAGAGACAGTGGACTGGACCTCAAGACAAAAGATGAAACAAATGCAGTCACATACCTTCCTAGGGATGGGCATCAGGGACTGATATTCTAAATAGGTAGCAATCACCTTGAAAAAGCCAGTTAGTCTATCTCAACCCCCTATGGGTAAAGCCCTTGTTCTGTATTCACAGCTTGCTATATGACTAGCTTCCCCATTTGATCTCGTTTAATCAATTTCACATGAGCAATTAATCTCACTGGCGGACTACAGTTTTCTCCTACCTCATGTTCCAGTTTTCCTTTTTTTCTACCTTAGATTCATCTTACCTTGTGGTTTTGCTCTATAAAACCCCTAGAAAAAGCTGGATTCTTGACAACTCAGGTCTCCTTTTGCCCCTTTTTCAGACACAAATGGTCTTTCCCCCAATAAATATTCTGCTCTTAAACTCCGTTGTTCCTAAAATTCATTCTTCAGAGAACACAAACTTCCCAGGCATCTTTTAGGTTGGGAGTTTCATTCTCTTATATCACAAGGAAAATCAGGTTGGGAAGAGGCAAGAAACAACATTACTTTCATGTTATTCTTTTAATAATGGGTATATAGCCATGTATAATTTTTGTAGATTTTTAATTTTTAAAAAGAAACAGGGTTAAAAGAAAAGAAAGGGAATGAATTGGCCCTTGTAGGATTGGAAAGAACAAAGGAGAAGAAACACCTCTGGAGGAAAGGTGGAACAGGAACAAAGACACAGATTCCAGGCAGGAACCTCAGGGAGTCAGGCTACATAAAGTGGCTCATGAGTCTCAAAGGATCCCACAAGGAAGGGTCAGAAACAGGCCTCCCTTGCTCTTTTAAGAAATGAAAGGGGTGGGGAGGGAG